AAAAAAAAAAAAAAAAAAAAAAAAAAGACAACTTCAAGTCAGAGTCGACGTCTAAGCTAACTTAAAACTCAGTTAAAAAAAGCTAACTCGAAGTCAAAGTCAAAGTCGAAAACTACTTAAAAACTCAGAGTCAACGTTAAAGACAACTTCATGTCAGAGTTAAGTCAGAGTTAAGTCAGAGTCAAAGTCAAAGTCAAAGTCAAAGGTAACTTCCAATCAAAGGCAACGTTGGAGGTAACTTCAAGTCCGATTTGAAGTCTAAGGGAACGTCAAGTCAGAGTCAAAGTCAAAGTTAACTTGGAAGTCAAAGCCAAAGTTAACTTGGAGTCAGATCGAGAGTCAAATAACTTCAAGTCAGAGTCAAAGGTAAACGCAAGTTCAAGTCAAAGTCAAAATTAAAGACAACGTCAAAAGTCAACGACAAGTTCAATTCAGCGTCAAAGTCAAAGATAACATCAAGTCAGTCAGTCTAAGTTAACTTGTGCTAGTCGGATTCAACGTCAAAGTTTTTTTTTTTTTTTTTTTGGCGGGACAAAAGCTCCAATCTATTCGTGGGGAGCAGCACGGGCTAAGAACCGGATTCAACGTCAAAGATTACTTCAAAGTCAGATTCAAAGTCAAAGTCAAAGTCAAAGTCAAAGTCAAAGTCAAAGCCAAGTTCAAACTGTATTGTCTTTTTTCCTGTTGTCCAGACGGCAGGTCAAGCAAGATAAGGTCCTTTTGAAAAAGGCTGTTATCTGTGAGTACAGCGTGCAGGTTGATTTTGCTTTTCTGGAAGCGAGCCAGGAAGGAGTGGGAGAGTGGAGGAGAGAGGAAGAGAGAGGAGAAGAGGGGAGGGGGGCGGGGGCAAGTGAGGGGAGGGCGAGTTTTTGTCAGGAGGGTAAGGACAGAACAGATTCATCAATGCGTCCGTCGGCGCCGCCGCCTTTGCCCGAGAAACTGTCGAAGATGGTGAGAGGGAAGATAGAGATACGCAGGATCGACAATGCAACGAGCAGGCAAGTCACATTTTCAAAGCGGCGCAACGGACTGCTTAAGAAAGCCTACGAGCTGTCTGTTTTATGCGATGTCGACATCGCCGTGATCATTTTCTCACCCACGGGGAAGATTTTCGAGTATGCAAGCACAAGGTACGCTGGCAAATTTCCAATTTTCCATCATCACATCACAGAAAAATTCCCATCGTCACTGAAAAATGCCCATCATCACAGAAAAACTCCCACCGCACACACACACACACACACACACACACACACACACACA